AATATCGAATCAAGGGCCTTTAGTTTTAAAATTCTATCATCTAATAGGTTACTGTTATGCACAACTCTGGAATAATATTACTTGTAAATCTCTGAAGAACTTCACACACAATGCTGCCAATTAGGAAATCGAATTTTCAATGTTTCATACTCTTTATTTGACAAATGAAACACTAAGTTGTAGATGCCAAACTTTGTTTTGACTCCATGCAAAGAGTTGATAAATTTTGTTTTATGAACTAATAAAAATATTGCAACATGTACAGATTGCTTTTTACTAAATTTCCTATTAAGGATATAAAAAGAAACAGACTCAGATAAGACATTATAGTCTATACATATAAATACACTATACATGCATATTGACATTAGTAAAGTAAATCTACATGACAACAGAGGCTTTCTATAAAAGATCTAGGTGTAAGACAGTCAATCACACCATAACTGTCTGAGAATGTACATTCAGTATATTGTGGTATACCTTTCATTCATGTCTAGTACAATGTATGTACATCTATATATAGTTGCTCACCTTACAATGTATTTTACATAAATTTGAACATTAAACTGATTACATATCAGTTCAAGTGCAGTCATATGAATATTTCTCAGTATTGTATGATCATATTACCTGGTTCTCTGGGGCATGATAAAACTCCAAGTAGTAAAGGGTTAAGTAATCTCTGTTGTAGTCCAAAGTAAAGTCTCTAATATTAATAAGTCAATTGAGGGATAGTTCAATTCTGGTGAGCATTTACATGTACATGTACAGTGTTTTGGTTTAGGGCAGTGTTGTTGTCTTTTACCAATATTATCAACTCAGCATTACATATAACTCTTACAATGTACATGTAGCTGAAATCTTTTGTTGTTCTTCTTAGTGTTTAACGTCTGCTTTCAGCTAAGGTGATATCGCAGACAACTTAGCGCACATGCAGGGGTCTTTCCTGTGGGAGGAAACAGTTGACACCAGGGATCAAAACCACACCTACAAGCCAGGTGACCGCTCAGCTAGTAGATGAAGAGTGAAACTTTACTCTAGATCACTGGGCCATTAACACCCCCCCCCACACTTTCTGAAATCTTTTGAAGTGCCCTCTGTTTAATCCAAATGAATCCAAGCCGGGAGGTTATCAATCTGGTTAAAACACAGATCCTATTTCGTTTCGTTTTTATAGTTCAAAATTTCGTTTTGTCTTTACTACACTTGGATCTGGAAGACTTGTTATTTAACTCGTGTTCTGCTTGAAATGAGGGGTCAGCCAATCAAATGGTCTGTTGAATCGAGTGTTTGACCTTTTTTGTCCGGAACTGTGGGTAATCCACTAGTAACATCAATGCTGACCTATCGCTATAACTTGTCAGATCTTTATGTAGTGTAGGCCATCGAAAGTATAAAAAAACAAAACGAAATACAGATCTGTATTTTAATCAGATTGGGAGGTTATCTACCATTGATATCTTAATATTGTTTTCTTAATTAAAGGTTAAATAATCAATTTAAATGTAAGTACACTTTACATGTATTGATTGAAAAAATGCAAATGAGTATCAGTGACTAATAGTAAAAGTATAAAATTCTATTAAGTTTTGAGAATCTTTATGCACATGTACATGTACAGGGCTCCCAATTGTAGCTAAATCAAACATATTATATTCCAAGACTGCGATGAATAAACGAAACATGTTCTGAAATAAAAACTTCTACTTTCGTAAAACAGTCTTGTCAAGTGTGTTGCTGGGGGGTTATATTTTGGGATTATTTGAATAACATTAATTAACCAATAAAATTCAAGTTTTTTTTTTCAATTGTTTTGTTTTATATTCCATATTATTATTTTATATTTGACCAGACCCGGTTTTAAGTACATGTATTATATGTAGATGAACATATATACATCTACGTACATAGTACATGTAGTGTAGAAAATCGGAAACCATATCAATTAGATATGGCAGAATATGAACATCAAAATTGCCCAGCTTTGAAAAAAGTCAGAATTGAACTATTAATTTTATTAGCTGCAATAATATCAAAATTATCATATCCTGTTTTTTTGGCTTTTTTCACTACTGTATGTAGATGTAGTATAAATCAGCAACTAGAAGGAACCAGAAATAAGTTATTTTAGCTGCAAGCTGATGAAAGATAAAGCTACCAGTATGAAGATAGTGGATAACTTTATCTGTGAAAGTGTGATAACTCATTGACCTAGCTCCTAGGATATGGTTTCATAAGGGGTCAATTCCTATCAAATTCCACTAACTGTGGTCAAGTTCAACAGCTACCAGATGGTCAGTTCGAAGTCTCAAATTACAGTTTGACCAACTTCCAGAATACTACTAATTCATTCATGCCTAAATCCTTGTATCTGAGCAGGAAATGGCAATATCCCCAACAGAGATGAACATGTACATGTAACTGTAATACAATGTAGCACGCAAAAAAAATTGTTTTAAATTTTTATTATACCAATTACATTTATTTATGGGCAATGGTAAAACCATGTACTTCTACTGCAATATTTTCTTGGAAAGTTATAACTTACTATTAAAAATAGCTACAAGTACATCTATGACCAGTAAATTTGAATACCAATATTCTAGAAGTTATTACAAAATACATGTACTAGGATGCAAATCATGTACATGTACAAGTACAGTTTTATTATGGTATTAAAACTCAAAAACATAATTGTCTCGTGGGTTCAAAAGTTGTAACCAATTACACAGCATAAAAAATTTAAGCTAACCACACATCACATTGATTTTTACTTTTATAAAAGAAACAGACTTCAAAAGCACACTTGTTCTATCCTGACAATGACAATCTTTCGTGACAAACTGTTTTCAGTCTCTAGAAAAGTACCATTATTACATGTTGATGTGATGTAGTACATGTAATTGGATGATTATTAACTAGCTGTAATCACATTCTGTGAAGGTATATTTATCACCCCAAAACCATCTTCATACATGTATTGTCAAATAGCACTTAGAGAGTATTTAACCTTCTTGATTTGCAACCCAGGTTTTTACTTGTACTTGGATGCAACCATATACATGTACATGTAAATGTAGACCTATTCTTATATCACTTTCTTAAGGAGCAGTCCTTGATTTCAAAATGACATTGTAATGTACTGAAGAATGCAAATAAAACATCAAAATTCTGAGAAATAGCCCAAATACCTTTTTTGAAGCCAGTTGGAACTGTACGTACATGTATATGAATATAGTTTCCTGTTGAAAGTGCTAATGCCTCTTTAAACATGCATTATGTAAGATTTAAATAACGAGTTGACAGTTCTTGTTATAATAGTTAAAAAATAGATAATGAAAAAGGAAAATTTGAAAATTTTAGTACATTTACTTCATTAAGATAAAAAAAACCCAACAAAGTCTTGATTATCCATTTTCAAATTAAATCACTAACCGCAAATCATATTTAAATCGGTTGAAAATCTAGAGCATTTGATGGCATCGAGAGTTGGTTATGGTCTTGGTAAGTTAATAAATGTCTAATTGATAATTTAATAATAAATACTTGTAAATATTTTATTTTCATTTTGAGTGAAACATGCATCATTACCGACCTGGGACTGGACAGCGTAGTGGACGCTTACAGCTAGTCCCCTCATCCATTCACTTGATTTGATATTTGTTGTTTATTGTCTATGTAGTTTGTCTTGTCTGCATGTTTATCTTGTTGTTTCTGTTTTGTGTGTAGTGCGGTCTTCCTGCACTTACTATTATATAACATTTAAGGCCTAAAGAAAGACCTGCAAGTGCAATATGGAGATTTATCTGTTGACTAATGCCTCTTCAAGTCTTTATATTACAGTAAAGTAGGCCTATTGCTGCTTAACAGGAAAAAGGAAATTGCATGACACAACTTCTGTATGTACATGTAAGATTGATGTTATCAGCATTTACATGTACATGCTTCAAGATCTTTGGTAATACTACTTAATTTTTTCCACCAAGAATCGTAACATGATTTTAAAAAAGATAATGAAATTGGGTTTATTGTCCGGCTCTTCTACCCTGACCAGGCTAAGAAGCTAAGCCAACACATGTACGCCATGCCTGTGTGGTTTCCTACTTTAATGTGGTCTTTGATTCAGGACGGAGGGCAAGAAACATTCAGGCCCGTAGCCAGCATGCTACTGCGGGGGGCAGTGAAGTTTTTAGGGGGGGAGGGCACAGTCTACATTAGGTATTAGAGCTATGGTCGGCAAATTTTTTTCAGTACCCCCCCCTGCAAACAGCATCTAGTCTTTTGGATAGGATGAAAAAACTTCCATGTAGGCTAAATTCATCTACAGTCATGCTACAATGCTTTTCTCTCCGATGTAGAAAGACAACGACCATTCTACATGTACATCTTCTGCATACAATTTGCCAAGCTGCAATATTGTACCCGTGCCTTGTCTTGTACGCGCTACAATTGATACACTATTCGAGGCTTTGCGCAAGTAAAATTAGGTTGACACATACATACATGTACCATCACAGTTTGCATGGTAATAAGTAATTGTGTTTCAAATAGTGAAGAGTGGAACACTGAAATTTTAATCTTATCTTACCGAACTGTTTTTCTGTATTGCAGGGTGACGTTAAATCATGTGCCTGTTCTATTTTGGTTCGGCAGCCATTTTAAAACGGACAGACAGCAGTTAGATTTTATTAAATCACATAATTATGCGGCAAGATTTCACCTTTATTTCAATGGGAATTGGTTTATTATGTTAGGCTATGTGTAGTAAAGTTTGGGTCGGTTTTATTGGAAATTAAGGGGGTTATAGGCCAGTAACTTTTTTGTCATCCCTGCTCAAGTCGGAAGAAATCAGTAGAGTGGAACCATTTCTAACAACTTGCCATGTAATGATTCACTGAAAAATGTCATCTTGATGGAAATTTAGATCTATTAATATTATTCAACTACTTAAGTATCATTTCATTAATTTCATAAAACAAATAAGTTAAAAACTAACTTACCTCTCAATAGACAAGCTACAGATAAAATTATAAATATCTGATCCATTTGAAAGGACACCATTTTCAGAACAGTTCCTATCACAGAGTTGACGTATGTGAAGCCAAGTGGCCTCTGCCCACTGAAGGCACTAATATCCTTTCCAAAAGAGGTAGAATGTATTTGGCTGAATTTTTTTCAGCTATTGCACTTCAAATAAATTGCATCTTGACTATACTGTGTAAACCTTCTCTGAAACAAAAACAAAATTTCTTAGACTGTATTCCTTCATCGTAATTATTCGCAACACCGAAACTTAAAACTAGATTATAAGGAGTTAAAATGCAAACTCAGCTGTCTTGAGTGAACTAATTATTCCATCAGTTTGTGTGGAAGCCGACAGTGACTGATGGTGTATTATCTGTGTAGTCTAGTTACCGTAAACTATTTATAACGAGTCCAAAAGTTTTAATACACGTCAGAAGCCGTTGCTTTTCACAACATTCAACAAATTAGGCTTATGCAAACAAACAATTAGGTTCTGCTTTTAAGCTGATTGCCACTAAATTACAGATTTGCCTCGAGATAGATGCCTGTACTTACTTGACACTCTCCCTACAAACCATCCAGCCTCTCAACAAAATGATGGCGGCTTGTAGTAAGCTGTTCCGTTATCCTCCCCCGGAAATGAATCGTAAACAAACCCAAACCGGAATAGCAGATGTGACACTTTACGTTTTGACTGGACATCAAATATATCTTTTCCAATAAAACATTGAGATGTTGATGCCTCCTGTTTACTGCCAACAATTTAATTGTAATTTGCGATTTTAGCACAGTGTGGTATCTAGGCGTAACAGCCAAAGTGTACAGAAAGTTTTTTTTTCTTTACTCTAACTTGACTGAAGTTAGCAAGAAAATTAGTAACAACTTTATAATTTATAGGTAGAGAGAGAAGACACGATTCAGTGAGACAGTGCTGGCTGATTAACCAGGTCCGATGTCCGGGGTTCGGTACCTGTGTTGGCCAACAAAATACACTGTACCCCGAGATCTTCCAGCGTTGAGACAGTGCTGGCTGATTAACCAGGTCCGATGTCCGTGGTTCGGTACCTGTGTTGGCCGACAAAATACCCCGAGATCTTCCAGCGTTTGGTGTATGCCCGTCTTCAATATCCAGAAAAGTATACAGGACGTAATTTCCAATTTAATTTATTCATTCTTCCCAGTGTTCAGTCTCTGATCTGGTCGAACACTTTTAACCGCACTGTGAAAGATAGGTTGCCAGGCAACGAAACATACGCCACAGCAGCTAAGTCGCCCGGGCAATCAACAAGTCTTGTCGCATATTCGTTCTTTTGTCAGTAATGAGAACATTTACAACACATGAAAATCAATCTGATTACCAGTAATAACCCGTGAAGTAATTGTCAGAAAACATTTATAGAATTTGTTTCGATTGTTTGTCTCATGACCTTAAACAATTTATATAAATCTAGCCTCTTGAAGGTACACAAATTTTTTTAAAAGTGATCAAGGACCTTAACTCTGGCAGTAATTATCAGAAATCGTTGAAAATCAATATGATTCTTCGTCTCGTGACTTTAAACACTGTGTATAAATTTAAAATCTATCGGATATTAACTTTAAACTCTAGAACGACCGCAAGATTTTTTAAAATGAACAAGGGCCACAACTCTTGTAATCATTATCGGAAATCGATAGGATTCTTCGTCTTGTGACCTTAAACACTGAGTCAATCGGATATTAACTTTAGCCCCTAGAGCGTCCACAACCAGGGAAGGGGTTTTTGTGTCTTCATAAAGTTCATCCAATTTAGAAAAAGCAAAAAGAACACTGATGTGTGAAAATGTCATTTGATAAAATATCGGTCATGTATTTAATAAAACAATTGACGTTATAAATTAAAATCCAACTGTGCAAAACATTATGAAAAATAATTCTAAAATGGCCAAACGCGTCTCCTGGTATAGACTTTCAGTACACAGAAAAACAAGTTAGATTTGTTCATGCCCTTCAGATATTAATTTAATTGAAATTAGTACGAGTGTTTTATCTGTGTAAAATTTCAGATAAATCCTTCCACCCTCACCCCCAATCATATACATGTACGACCGTGACTTCGAGGGCAATCAAATTATTCGAAATCAAACAAATTCTAAGTGGTTATTATCACACAAAAAAATCAAGAGCCCCTTTTTTTATTCACATGACAAAGTAACCAAATAAAAAAGTAACAAAATATCTACTGAAAATATGTCATCCACCGTACAGGTAATGAGTCCGTTTTGACCACGTCGCCTCTCCTCCACCTCGTCCCCACTGGTGCACAAACATATTTTCCCAGAAGGGATGCGACATCAAAAAATCGGTCCATTCAGCATTAGAAAATCAAATCGGCCCACCATATCAATAAAACGTCGCCCCTCTTGAAGCGAAATTCGACACAACAAAGGAAAATTCGCCCACATAATCTCAAAATTCTTATTTCCAAAATAAAGCACAAAAAGATAGACAGCAGTGATCATCATCATTTATATGTAATGTAAAATGTTCATCTTCCACTTATATGTACTGGGCCCATTTTCCCCCAAATCCCGACCCACATAATATGGCCGATAAATACCAAATTTTATTGAAAAGGCATAACGTCACTTATATAAACTTTCTGTAAACTAAGTGTTGTATTAGATTTCGGATATTTTATTTTGCCAACTAGGTGAAATAATAATTTTTATTTTCACTTTACCCGTCTGCCCGAAAAGTCAGATCGCCCGAAAGTTAGGGGGTAACTTTGTGTCGTGTTCTTAATTAAGGTTTCAATTATATAAAGATATAACACATCCCAAACTTATAGGCTGCCTGTCTACAGCTAGCTCCGCCTGAGAACAGGCCCTAAGCTGATTACCCGACATTTTAATTCCTACATCGACGATTTTAGTCGAAAACACTGAGTATGCTTTTAGTAATTTTTAGAAGTATTTATTTCTCTTCTATTGTCATATTGAATGAAATTAAATATGTTTATTTAGTCGCTGTACGTATGAAAGATGTCAAACTAATCAAAGCCGAATCACAAAATAGTCCTCTAATTATTCAATATGGCAGCGCCCATAAAAGGTAATTTCACAGAGGCGGTTTTGTTTGCGAAGACAAATTTAGGAGTATCTAACCTTGTTTTGAAAGATAAACTGATTGAAACTCTAAAGACAGTTTACAATGGCAAAGAATTTATTGCAATATTACCCACTAGTACATATTATATATCGCTTTTACCGGATTGGCAGAGTTGACATTTTGCTAAAGACACGTGTTTACATAAAACACGTGCGTGCTCGGGTTATTTTTACTCTGTTGTGTACACAAAGCTGTAGTCCGGTCGATAAGTCCCGCCCCAAAATGATCACGTGAGCGTTTTAAATGGCGGCTAATTGGGGCAGTGATCATAATGACGTATGACGTAGATGGATCGCTGCGTGCAGTTTGGATAAACGGTGGGGAGTGGAATTCTAAAGAAAGTCACACAAAGTGTGGAAATACGCCCACACAACAGCGATGTTGTGACAGCAGCTTATCCGAAATTACAAACCTATAACGGTAAATCTTTTATCTTTCCAGGTTTTATATGCCCGGAATAACTTATGTTTATTTTAACAATGTTCAACTACGTTCGTTTCTCAAACGGGTAAGCATTCGTCTTTGGTTAGGCTGGGTCAGAAAGATCATCTCGGGCACTTTTTTCGTTTTTTTCTTTTCCAGGGATAACCCTGGGGAGGGGGGGGGGGGTGCAGCTGCCCTCTAACTTTCGGGCAATCTTACTTTTCGGGCATCTATTATTATTTGTGAATGAAGCTGCAACAGTCTGATAACTTTGGAACTGAAAGTCGCAGAATGCTGAATATCGATAGGATTCGTTCAGTAATGACCACAATGCCACGTTTGAAAATAAACAGTTAAAACAATAGCATCTATTGTGCATGGTCACGAGGTTTTCAACTATCGAACAGCATATTAAAGAACAACGTAATATGGGCGTATGAAAATCCTAATTTATATGAAGTTGACATATTTCTCAAATAATGCAGTTAGAATTTGCATTATTACTTTTAGTTGATTGTCATATTTTTTTAAATAGATGTAGATGCCAGTCAGCTTAGTTTTGTAAATATTTGGACTTTCAGAAATGTTACGCGGTAAATGCGACATAATTCTAACGCTCATTATGGTAATAGATGGCGTCAAAAAAGAATAGAAGCAACATTGAACAATTAAAGGCGTGGTTTAATTGATAAGGTTGCTGTATATATTTTGCTAACTTATGCCCCATTGACACTTTCACGCATTTTGAATCCGCAATGGTAATCATGTTTTTTTTCATTGCGGATGGATATCATGTATATTTCACCTGTCAATCAAATAGTTCGTGCCGTTGCTGACCAACGTTTGCACATAGTATGCTAAATCTGTCCGCACTGGTGCGCATTCGTACCATGTTAGTTGTCTCTCATGCGTCCCGCATCGTCCATCATTGTCCCGTTACAGTACGCAATATCTGCGGATAGTTTGCGCACAGTTTGCGCAGGTGACCGCGCACTTGCGCTATGGTACGCCAGTTCCTGCACTGTCAGGTATTGGTTACGTTAATGTACTCAGTTTTAAGCATGCGTGACCATTTTGTGAGTCATTTTGTGACACGCACTGGCACGCTTCATAGAAATAGTATATATAAAGTACGCAATATCTGCGGATAGTTTGCGCACAGTTTGCGCAGGTGACCGCGCACTTGCGCTATGGTACGCCAGTTCCTGCACTGTCAGGTATTGGTTACGCTAGTGTACTCAGTTTTAAGCATGCGTGACCATTTTGTGAGTCATTTTGTGACACGCACTGGCACGCTTCATAGAAATAGTATATATAAAGGAAAGGTATTGGGATATGGTCCATTCCGTCGGCAACTCTTCAAAATGATGAACTCCAGAGACCTTGAAGAAAGGAACCTTACTTTGCAAAACGTACATCTTACAGCAGCTGCTGGTCTACTACTTTTGGAAGAAGATGAAAGTGAACGAAATATTATTCTACAAAACCGACAGAACGTCTGCCTGCATCAAGAAAAGAAAAGTCAGGAGACCCTGGGTGAGGCAATGGTTGACAAGGAGACAACATTTTGGCCATTATGACCAGTTATTGTCGGAACTACACAAGGAAGATCGCAGAGGTTACCGGAACTTCCTACGTAACACCCCCGAACTGTTTCAGAGATGATTGAAAAGTTGACCCCACACCTGAAGAAGAATAAAACATTTATGAGAGAACCTCTTGGAGTTGGCCTGAAGTTAGCAATCACACTCCGCTTCTTAGCCAGTGGCGATTCCTATGCAAGTCTCCAATGTATACAATTTCAGAATTGAACTTAGCACTATATGCAAGTTTCTACCAGAAGTATGTAAAGCTAACGTCAAGGTCTACAAGCCAGAAATATTAGTTTGTCCTAGAACAGAAGACCAGTGGAAGACTATTGCTGAAGGTTTTAGTAGCAGATGGAATTACCACAACTGTCTTAGAGCCGTTGACGGCAAGCATGTTGCTATGAAGAAACACCCCTCGGGAGGATCCTTCTACTTTAACTACAAGAACTTTCATAGCATCGTGCTCC